CTCACTTCAACCAACTTTCTTACTTCTTCCTCAACAAATAATCTCTTTTCCTTTACTTCTTTTCTCTTTCTCTACATAACAGTTTTTACCCTGGGAGTAATGGATTACTAGTGACATACCACATATAGATTTATCCCAAGCATATGGCAGGAACTCGAGCGAATAGATCAACATTTTCTCTTAACAACTGTAGTATTTCTACTTCCTCTTTGAGCGACAGAGCGATCCCGACCTGGGTAGTTTGGTACTCCTTAGGGAGAATATGTATGATTTTCATCTCTTAAAGAGCTGTTAAGCCATCTTTTGGAGGAACACGTCGTGGTTCGAGATTTACACAATGAACTTTATGGCCGTCCGATACAAGTTTATGATTAGTCCTCCTTTTTAATTTGAGGCTTTCTTGGTAGCACTATCTGGCATGTTACTGATTTCCCTTCAAAACTCTAACTTTCCTATTGCTCAATGGGTATTTCATCGTCAGATACAACATTGACAAGGCAACTTCCATAGCATTAAAGGTTGGGTTTTTTATGATTATATTGTAAGGTGAGAGAGCGTTGATCACTATGTACCTGCAAAACTGTTGGAGAGTGTGTTAAGGATGTAGCATCGAACATACCACCATCACTCTTCTTGCACCCTTCAAGCCCTTTTGGAAGGGGAAACCATTCCTCGAGTGTCATGGAGCCAATATCACCTTTATTGTGGTCATCTCTTTCCATCCTAAACATATATCTAGAGGTATCCTCTTTATATTAACTTCTCAATCTCTTACTTTAAATGATGATATTCTTTACTGTGTTGCCCTCACACCTTTTGATATTTGCACCATTTTTTCGGTGTTCATGCCCATCATGCTTCCTTTTTGTGGATTGGGATTTGAGGTGAGTCTTGTGTTTCACGTCTCTTGCATAATTCTTTTTCGTTTGGTATTTAACAGGGTAAGATGCTCGGACAGTCTCGGATCTGCCTTGTGTATCTCCTTTTCTCAGTAATGACCTCGCTCTTTAGTTTTACTTTTGTCTGCTCGACTTTGATATTGACAAACCCTTCTATTTTGTGTTTATTGACCTTTTCTCAGATTTGCTTCCCCCCTTTTGTAACTCCCTATACTGCCTTCAGGATTACCGACTGATCCCATAAACCAACACATATATTTTCAACATGTTTTGTCCTCGCTCACACGCTTCCTGGGAAACTTCCCAGAAGGTCACCCATCCAAATACTACTCCAAGTCAAACACACTTAACTATGAAGTTCTTATTTCTTAGGCTACTGAAAAAATATGCATCTTGTTGGTATAGGTAGTACCAATCAATCACTATAAGTTTTTTTTCAACCATGCAGTCTCATATCTGCACAATCTCATTTTGATGTTAATTCGATGACCACTCTCCACCCTTTTCAACCTCGAGTATTACATCCATTATCTACCTTCTTCAGCCTTGGGTGTTACAGGCCCACCAGCTTCCGCTTGATTTATCGCATAACCACATCGTACTAGAAGAGGCTTGGCTCTGATACCATTTGTAATGCCCAAGACTACTTTCAAGATTACCGTCTGACCCACAAACCAACACGAGTCTTTTCAGCATGTGTTATCATCACTCACATCCTTTCTGGAAAACTTCCCAGAAGGTCACCCATCCCAATATTACTCTAAGTCAAACACTCATAACTATAGAGTTCTTATTGGTTAGGCTACCGAAAAGAAGATGCATCTTGTTGGTATAAGAAGTATCAATCAATCCCTAAAAGCCTTCCTTCAACCATGCATTCTCATACGTGCACAGCCTCAGGATCCCTTTCATTCTGATGTGAATTCAGTGACCATTCTCCTCTCTCTTCGGCCTCGAGTGTTACATCCATTCTCTGCCCTCTTTGGCCTCGGGTGTTACACCTTTGATGTAACATTCGGCTCATGTCATGATTTCTTCCATTGTGGTTGCAGGATTCTAAGCTAAGGATTCATTTAAATGTCCCGCCTTAAAGCTATTTAGGAAGGCTTTCACGAACATCTCTTGGTTGGGATGAGACATCTTAATGGTTTCATCGTTGAATCGATTCGGGTATTCACAAAGTGGTTCTTCCGAGCTCCGACGGACGTTAAAAAGGCTAGAGGTGGATACCTTGCGATGCTTGCTGGCACATAACTGATGTATCATTTTTCTCGCTAAATTTTGATAACAAGTCACTAAAAAGGGGAAGAAAAGGAATCGGTAGCCCCGATGATTTCCACGAGTGTAGACTGTCAAAATGTGTTCCTGCAGGTCATTTTTCTCGTCAAATATGGTGAGCGGTGGTGGGTTGAAATTTTCTGGAACCTGATCATTCCATATCTCTTCTGCTTATGGTTAAGTGTCGATAGGATCCTTCAAACCCTCGTCCTTTAGATGGGTCTGCTGTTAATTTTGTTACAGGGTCTGAACGCTGCCTTACAATAATTCATTTTGCTGATGCATGCTCTCGACGGAAGCGAGTAGCTCTTCCATAACAGTTTGTTATTCTCTGTTGCTATTGCTCGCTGCGGTCCTATAGGAATGGTGAGTGCGTTGGTTCATAATTTTGTGCAGTCTATAAAAGTTTTACCCAGACCCCACAGTGGACATCAAATGTTCTTGTACAAAACACCAATTTGATAACTCCTCTGATCCGTGTTAGACAGACCCACAAAAGAGTCATAATGGATGAATTTTCTATATTCTTTCTCACTTATCTTTCTCTCTCAAGTTTTGTTTTCTTATATAGCATGTATCTTTGATGAAGGAGTTTAGACAACTTCGAATACTCATTAATGGTCATTAATGTGGATGTTTGTTTATAGTGTGATTTGGGAACATATTAAAATATTCTAACATCATACTCTTAAATTTTTATAAAGTCATGCATGGGTGTAATGAAATCCCTCTTCAGGTCGATCTAAGGGTGTAATGCCAATCAAATATGGGTGAGATGTCTTCGAGTTAAACACTATCTCGGGATGTACATAATCCCTCAAGTGTGAGCCCCAAAGGGGCGAAGTGCTTAAGAGAGGTGCATTCTATATTGCCATATCGCGAGCTGACACATCCAGGACGTACGTAGTCCACAAACGCGAGACCCAAAGGGACAAAATGCTTAAGGGAAATGCATTTTATATCACTGTATCCCGTGTTGACACATCTAGGACGTACATAGTCCCCCAAGCGTGAGGTTCAAATGGATAAAGCGCTCAAGGGCGATGTAATCTATATTGCCATATTTCGGACTAACACATTCGGGATGTACACAATTCCTAAGTGTGAGGCCCAAAGGGACGAAGCGCTTCAAGGTAGTGCATTCTATTGAGACCTAATAAATTCAATATTTTATCGAGACCTCAAATATTTGAGGCTATATGGTGAACTCGGTTGCACACAGGGCCATCCTTGGTGCACCTGCTTCACATACGGTGTGGCAGATCATTTTGCTCTCTGTACTGTTATTATTAGACCCATGGACGACACAAATTTTTTTATTTTAAATTCACATTTAATTATAAAAAGAAAACAAATATTCAAAAGTTAATAAGAATTATACACAATTAGTTAGAGCTAATAATTTTCGGTTGAATGTCTTATGATGTTAATATTTTTCGTACGCATAATCTATTCCCGAATCTAAAATTTCGTTTCCATGACCATTATTTAGTTTTAAAGAGTTTTATTAAGGTTTTTCTAATTTAAATAAATTTTAATGACAACTCAATTGTTTTCGAGTAACTCTTTAAGTTTTTAAGTCACAACTAGGGGGTAAGAATAAGTCAGGTCAATTAACAGGGGTCTATGACCTAACCTACATAGGCTCCAGTCAGGCCAGATTTTTTCCTAAATAGAAAATGCCTAGGTTTTTTTATAAGTCTATTTAGTTAAAGAGGTTAGGCCACAGGCCGTAAAAAAATCCTTTCAAGCCGGTCTATTTATAAAAAATCAATAAATTTATTATTATTATTATATTGTATTTTATACTTTGAATTAAAATACGAAAATAAAGTTTAGTTATTTTGAACAACTTATGAAAATAAGTTGAAAAAATATTATAAACAATGTCATAAGTTTTTTTTTTCTCCATAGGTGCTCTCCAACAAATAGTATCATCAAACTTATGCAAATAGATAAACTTGAATGAGACAATGAAAATAAATATTTAGTCTCAATGATCTTTTAATTTGTTAGTCTATTTAATATTAGTTGAATTTTTTATTTGCAAACGTTCAAATAAAGTAAACTTTTAAATAGGCTAGTAGGACAATCAGACGTTCGAAAATGTCAGTCTTAGACTTAAAAATAAATTTATGATAAACTATAAGTTAAACTTAGACTTTGAATTTTTTAGCAGATTAGAATCAGACTTGGCAAAACCTAACTCGGCTCATTCTATTTTCATTCTTAGTCACAACAAATATTCATTAGTTAATTGTAAACTATATGACGTAATTTGATCTATATAGCACATTTCACTTGAAATCAGATTTTATTTTATTATTCCTAAAGAAAATATTAATTTTGTCTGTGCTAAACAGTATATGTTTCGGTCTGTGACCATTCCAGACTTTTTCAAACATGGTTGTTACTTTGTTTGTTTCAGTCTTTTGTTAAATAGTTGTCATAGATCTATTGCCAATGATTATTTTAACAAGGCACTGAATGAAAATGTTAGCTATTAATAGCTATAACAATTAACTTTTATTTTTCAATCCATCCATCCAATAATCTAAAGACATGGATCTTTGTTTTTTGTTTCAACATCCTTCTCTTATCTCTTCCGACATTATTGCAGTCCAATCCTCTTGTGATATGTATATATATCTACATTGTCAGAACAGAAACTTCAAACCAAGCGTTTTATGATCATCCTTGTTACTCCTGCAAGTCTTGAATGTCCTACCAATGAATAGTTAATCAAGGTTTTGTTCTTTCATTCATGCAAGTAGAAATCACATCAAATTAATTTCATAAAGTCAGATTGTTTAGTCAGTAATCATGGCTGGTGGAGGATTTACAACAAGTTCAGATGATACAGTTTTTGAAGCTAAGATCACGGGTGCTGTCATTCTCTCTTGCATAATGGCCGCTACCGGTGGTCTTATGTTTGGTTATGATATTGGCATTTCAGGTACAATTTTGACATATGTAACTCCAAGAATTTACATGAAAAATATGCGTATGGTATCCGACACTAATACTGACACACGTAGTTATTTAATGTGAATGTATTAATGCAGGTGGTGTGACAGCAATGCCTAGCTTCTTGGCCAAGTTTTTTCCTGACATATACAGAAGAGTACAACAACCTGCTTCTGAAAGCAATTACTGCAAATATGATAATCAGAAGCTTCAATTGTTCACGTCGTCGCTTTACCTTGCAGCTTTGGTAGCTTCCATGGTTGCATCTCCTGTAACAAGACAGCTAGGAAGGAAACAAACTATGTTGCTAGCTGGAGTTGTTTTCATTGTTGGCACTACCATGAGTGCCTTAGCAGGAAACCTTATTCTCCTAATTTTGGGAAGAATCTTACTTGGTTGCGGCGTTGGTTTCGCCAATCAGGCAGTGCCAGTGTTTCTATCTGAGATAGCACCAACGAGAATTCGCGGTGCGCTTAACATTATGTTTCAGCTGAACATCACCATTGGAATTTTCATAGCAAACCTTGTGAACTGGAAAACAGCACAGTGAGTTTAATCTGATTAATGATCTTGACAATAACAATCTAGCAATGAATTGAAATTTTTTTAATAGAATGTGATGAATGTTTATATGAAAAACAGAATAGCAGGTGGATATGGATGGAGAATATCATTGGCTGGAGCTGGTATTCCTGCACTTCTGCTAACAATAGGTTCACTCATAGTGGATGATACTCCTAACAGTCTAATTGAAAGGGGTTTTGAAGAAGAAGGGAAGGTTGTGCTAAGAAAAATTCGTGGTGTCGAAAACATTGGACCAGAGTTTGAAGATATTCTTAGAGCCTCTAAAGTGGCTAAAGAGGTCAAGAGTCCCTTCAAGGACCTTGTGAAGTCCCACAATCGTCCTCCATTGGTCATTGCCATTTTTATGCAGGTCACTACTCGATAACTATACTAATAGAAAACAACGTCGTCTTAAGTTTTTAGAGGTCCTGTGTGACAAAATAAATAGGGCCCTAACATATGAAAATTTGAGACTTTGTGTCGTAGTCTGTCTTACACATTCTCAAAGACAGTTTTGATTAGAGGTCGAACATGGTTTGGTTTGGTCGAACAAACCAAGATCAAACCAAACCAGTTTGGTCTGATTTTTAAAACATTGCATATAATATTTGTCAATCTATCTATAGCTAATACTTGTATTTGGTTTAACTGATGATTTTGTCTGACTTTGGTAAAGGTGTTCCAACAATTCACGGGTATCAACGCGATCATGTTTTATGCACCAGTATTGTTCAGCACCTTAGGATTTCACAGTGATGCATCTCTATACTCATCTGTGATCACAGGAGGCGTAAACGTCCTCTCAACCTTAGTGTCAGTCTATTTCGTCGACAAAGTCGGGAGAAGAGTGCTTCTATTAGAAGCATGTGTACAAATGTTCATCTCACAAATGATAATCGCAGTAGTCCTCGGGATAAAACTCACAGACCACTCAGATAATTTAGACAAAGGTTTTGCAATGTTGGTTGTGGTCATGGTATGCACATTCGTCGCATCTTTCGCATGGTCGTGGGGTCCACTCGGATGGTTGGTTCCCAGTGAGACATTTCCTCTAGAGACAAGATCAGCTGGACAAAGTGTGACAGTGTTCACAAACATGTTGTTTACCTTTATTGTTGCACAAGGTTTCTTGTCCATGTTGTGTTACCTTAAATACGGGATCTTCTTGTTTTTCTCTGCTTGGATTCTTATTATGGGCTGCTTCACTGTGTTCTTGATTCCGGAGACAAAGAATGTGCCCATTGAAGACATGGCTGATAAAGTCTGGAGACAACATTGGTTCTGGAATAAATATATGTGAAGAACTCAAAGGAAGTCAGTGTCACATTGAATATAGTCCAAGTTTGATTTCAAGCTCAAGCCTAGAAATGGAGTATTCTCCACTATACATTTTCTCTAGGTTGACATTCAATAATGCTGTAAAATTATCTTCCATGTACTAATGGTGTGGAGTAATCTTCCATGTACTAATTAATGGTATCGAATAATATTCGATGTGACTCAACTCATTTGAGTTACACTTTTGTTCTATCAATTTGTCTTGTCTTGTCTGTTTCTAGCGTTTGGTTAGGATGTAAGCCAATTGCAATTCTATCTTACAATGCTCAATCTTCAATAGTTTTCAATAGTTTTTTTTTATTAATTCGATCACATAAAATGTGAAACTTCATTTTTATGACGTGTTTGCTCCTACCATAACTCATGATTCATTTGCAGAGAGTCACTTACATTCAATTCTTGAAGTATCAGCTTTAACCATAATGTTTGGTATGCAACATAAAAGTATGCAACTAGAGGCATGCAAAAATACGGTTAAGTGAATCATTTACCTAAATTGAATTGTAGTAAATTAAAAAAATTGAACAATTTAAATAGTTAGAAAATTGAACCACATATTAAAATTCTTCACTTAACCAAACATAAATTAAAAATTAGTTTAAACCATTTAATTAACTATTTTAAAAAATATATTTCAAAATCTATGCGAATTAAAATTTATGGAGATATAATTCTCCCACCCCATAACATAATCGAGAAAGATGTAAAATCTTTTCCACTTAAGAGACTTAAGAGACGTATGTGGCATACTCGTCGATTAATAATCCGAGTTGAAGCCCTTCTCTTAAAGTGAAACAAATACCATCTTCCATATGCTTGTGGTGGTTTAAGTCGAGTATTCTCCCTAAGATGACGACTTGTCTCTTCTTCTAGAATTAATCAACAAACTTCTCCCCCTGGAACCTTGACCACAATCAAGAGTTCCTCAACCCCTTTAGGGAAACTATGAATGCTCTGATGTTGTTCCCGTTAGGAGACGTAGACACAAGATGCGATTTATTGGCGAGCATACTTAGAAATAAAGCCCTAGGTCTTTCCCTTAGCAAAAAACAATAACACAATAAAAGAAGAGGTTCCTGTAGAGTACTACAAATGCTTAGGATGCTAACACCTTCCCTAGGTATAACCAACCCCCGAACCTTAGATTCTCTAGCTTTGTATTGCATTGCATACTCATGGGTTATTCGATCTTTTTCCCTTCCCTTAGAAAAATTAAAGAACAGTAGTGAATAATGATTTGCGATTCGAGTTAATCAATAGCTTGATATCCAATTCTCACCGCGACAGAAATGGCGACTTCACTAGAGAATTGTCATGAGGGTTCCCTCTAACTTGTTTATTTGTATTTTTGTTGTATACCTATATATTTGATTATTTGTATCTATGTGTTTCTGCTTTGGGTTGTTACCTTAGTACGGTGAGATAAGTCCTACACCTGGACTTGAGCTCACTTACGATAGGAAGGTGATATATTTAAGGAGGCTTATAGGGAGTTGATTCCTGACCATGCTGACTTGAGAAATCACCACTTAGTTGAGGCCCTCTCGAGAATAGTACTGTTGAACGAGTATTCGTGAAAACACTTACTATTTTCGACCTAGGAGCCTGTGATATTGGGAACCTTTAGTGCGATGACTATGAGGGAGTAGTCCCAAAATAGTTGATACGCGATACTACACTTAATAGAGGTTCTCTTGAGAATATTATTAACTACCGAGTATTTGAGAAATTGATAATATCCGAAAGATAGACTGATGACTTTGGGAACTTTTAGAACCCTTGTTCTGCATGTACAATAAACCCTTAGTTCATACCATTGAGGATGAGTAGATGTCGCACCCTAATTTTTGACCTTAAGATCCCACCTCCTCTTGCATCATTTTATGTCATTTATTTTGTCCCATGACTAACCGACCTTGTGCAGGCGCGTTAATCTCACGTCAAGATAGCCTTTGTTACTGCAATCAATATGTCGTCGGTGGATTCCGACTCTAAGCCCTAATTTTCTTTATCCCGATTTGAATCTTTTCCTTCATGGAGGACTAATTCAAATGGTTCCTTCATGGGCCACGTGACTAGGACTCTGGACATTTTCCTTTCAAAGTTCCTTAAACATCAATATCAGTTTTCTCAAAGTATTTGAAGTTTGCAATGTGGAGGATCAGGGTTTTCTTTCCATTATTGAATATGATCATCTGAGGATTGGTTAAAGTTTCTTGGCAAGCAGCATCATAGGTCTCCGTGAACAACATGTTACAAAGTGCAAGATTTAATGGGAAGGGAAAAGACAAGTTTTCATCCAAAGATTCACGAACAAGGGAAAACACTAGAGCCAGTTGCATAAACTAAAGAGTCTAAGGTCAACAAGTGATTACCAAACATGGCTATCGGTATTAAGGCTCCAAGATGTGCAAGTCGTAGACGACACAAAGTTTGAAATCCTTTACTTTCACTTTGAGTTACAATTATTTATCAAGTGTTATTATAAGGTTAATGGCGGTTGACAATTGATGAACTTTATCTGTCTACAAACCCTTTGTTATATATATAAATTTCAGAGTCCAAGGTATTTTGGAATTGGAATTTTCACTTTAAGTACAAATTCCCCAGATGCACATAAACGATCCAAAAGACACAACTTAAATTTACAGGATCCTAAAACGAATTGGCACCAGGAAAACTATTACATGAATAAACACTGAGCAATTATTAAACAGAGATGGAACTTATAAACTACGGCCGCATTTGATTTGCTGCAGGATTTGTAGTAGAAGGAACGACCATCCGGAACTATGTTATCCCCTCGGTTGCCCAGCGAGAAGCCCATTTCCAATTAAGTTTTATAATGACCTTTAGTTATAGGGCAGCTGGAGGCAAACTCTGACACCTGAAATCCCAGTATCTTAAGTCCATCGGTATTCCATATTCATCTACATGCCTTTCAACCATGACGACAGTCGGTATGATGGGAGGAAATGCCTGGAATCGTTAACCTCTTTCGCTATAGACGAAATGGCATCACAAGCTCACTTACATCTGCAATAAACCATTGTAAAATCATTTTCGTCAACGCATAGAAACCAAGTTTTACTTACAAGAGTAAAATACAAGTTTTGAGAGGAAATTAACAACACCGATGCAGAGGGGCCTTGTTGTTGACATGCTACTCCTCCATGTTAAGATTGCCATAATCATAACCATAACAGCGTGTGGAGTCCACGCCGCGGGAACGCTAAACGCATATAACCATCAAGCTTTAATCAAACCAGCATTCAGGAGGCAGAGTATAGAGGCGTTCTTTCCGTTAGCTTGAACACACACGATACTTCACCATTCACATCTGGTTCTGCAACAAAGAAGAAGGATGCTTTGACTTCATAACTTCCTATCGCAACGGTATATAAGCCCGGTGCAATCCCAACATGCTACAGATATTTTGAATAAACCACAGCATCGACCATCCAGTATAAGACCATCTCTTTCGCTGCTTAAAACGTATCCGTAACCTGCATTACAACATGAACTGAGTTATCACTCGATTTAAAGCATGAAGAAGGGAATTTAAACTGGGATACTTCCAAGAACTTATGAGAGCCTCTCGGTAATCCCACCTGCAGAAAATGTGAGCTCTGATATACCACATCATGAATGTGTTCTCCTCTTTCACCTGCAGACCAAGAATGAGCAACCTTTAAACGAGAATTACAAGCAGTATTGGTTCAGATCGCAGGCTGTCACAAGATTTTAAACCACTCACACTCCGAAATCCATGTAGGTCTCCACCTTATGCTAAGAACGCCCTTAATAGCCATCTATTCACGATCCATGAGCCTGCTGCAAAACAGGAAGTTGAGAAGAAAATGCTCAAACCAACAAGTTGAAATATATCCACCTTGTTGTATGAAAACCTCCAAAGTATGTTAACCTGCAATTAGGAATGTTATCGAAGTTGAGTAATTTGGATACCACACGAGTTATGAGCCCACGGTCAGAGTAAGAAGGGATTAAAAGCTTACAGTTCCATGTTGATGCTTCAAGGGGGCTATCCATCTGAAGCACAGCTTTACGGCGAGACGACGTAATCTGAGCATGTCCTCGTGATCGCAGAATTCAATCAGTTTTTAAGAAAAGAAGAGAAAGAATCAAGTCAAAGCATTCACATAGCAGAACTCAACATACGTTTAGCAGGAAGAGGACGTATTCCTCCAGTTGTATCTCTTTCCAAAACTGAATTTCGACATTATTCAATGACAATGGGTACCTGCTGGTAACAGAAAGGAAAAAATTAATTTTATCCGACATAATAAGCAAGAATGGAAACTTCACTTACAACAAAATCCTGGTATTCATAATTCTTTCAAAACAGCATTCGACGGAATAGGAAAGCATTTTAAAGGGTGGAAATCGGAACAACCTATATAAGAGGAGAATTTGAGATGAGGAGAACGATAGATAGTAACCACAGAACCCTCAGAAGTAACCCCAATCAAGAAACCCTAACATAGCCATAAACAGATATATGAACATCCTCACGGATCCAAATTCCTAAAACCAAAAAAATTCATACAAAGGAAAACTTATCTCTCTTAGACTCCACCGCCACTGCAAAACCCTTACTGACATCGCATAAGTCATCTCCAAAACCTTCGCAAGCCCGTTTCCGCAAACCCAAACCAAAACCCTCATCGTCCGCCGGAAACCGCAAGCCGCCGTCAACCACCACTTTCGAAAAATCCTGCAAAAACAAAACCCATTTTAAAATGTGAGTATTTTTTATGACAATTGTTTTCTTGTTGTTGTTGATGCAGGAAGCATGAAGAGAAGACGAAATGGAGGCGCGGTAAACACGGATGAGACAAAATCATAATGAGGAGGGAGGAGATCGCGAGTGAAATCGAAGGAAAGGTGAACGAGATTGAAGAGGAAGATGGATCGGAGAAATGAAGAAGAACCGGAGAAGAG